ATTAAGAGGGTGGACAGAAGGAATGACAGGATATGACCTCAACATGAGAAGATTCTGCTTCTCATTAGAGGTTCTGTTAGAAAATTTGATGGAAAAACAAGTTATTATAGCACTGCTTATCAGCCATGAAGTTTGAAGAATTTCATTTGTTCATGATTTCTCCACCATCACCCACAAACACCAACATGTGAAATATGTTTGAACTATTTAAACCAGCTGACCAATAAGAAATACGTTCCTCTGACAGTGCTTACAAATTTTCAAACAAATATATGATTATGAAAAAACTGTTAATAAGCCGTAATTTATCTGTTACTTTCCATCTTGGAATCCTTTCTTTCATTTCAGCTGCTTCCCCTCTATTTATCCTCCCATATCTCATGCACTTTATGCAGCATCTGTTGCCATAGCAGCTTGGTCAAGCTGGCTACATTTCCACAAGGTTTCTGGAATATGAAAATCATGAGGCCTTAAAGAAGAATGAGCTAATAGTAGAATTTCAGGTACTGCCTAAGACCTGAAAGAAAAGACAGGAACCCTCCATAATGTCAGTCATGTAACCTGTTTTCTTTTGAGACAAACTTTCAAAATCCTTTGATGCTGTTCACATCGATTCTATTTATTAGAAAGCGAGTTTTTAAGTTCAAGTATACTATCCAATGAAAAAGATCATGTTATCCAATCAAGAAAAATTTATTGAACTTCTCCTAAAAGTAGATGGCCCTATCTAGGTTTTTTTAACTGTAATCAAAAAATTAAAAAGTGTCATAAAAATATAAAATGCTATGGGGCCAGCCCAGTGGTGCAGTGGTTAAGTTCGCATGTTCCACTTTGGTGGCCCACGGTTTGCTGGTTTGGATCCCGGGTGTGGACCTATGCACCACTTGTCAAGCCATGCTGTGGCAGGCATCCCACATATAAAGTAGAGGAAAATGGGCGTGGATGTTAACTCAGGGCCAATCTTCCTCAGCAAAAAAAGAGGAGGATTGGCAGCATATGTTAGCTAAGGGCTAATCTTCCTCAAAAAAATTAATTAATTAATTAATTAAAAAACAAAATAAGATGCTATGGAAGTTTACATGTGGAAGAATACTTCTAGCTGAAGCAGTTAGTTTCTAATATTATTTAATTTATTTAGTCCTCAGCAATGTTACCTACCAACTACTCCTATGCAATCAATTCTTTATTTCTCAGCCCTACCCACCTACCAGTCACTTGTGGCACAGAGCATTGAAGTGGAGAGTTATTGTAGCTGAATTTATAGAATAAATGTGCAATCTCAGCTTTAAAATACTGCAAGTATGGACTCTGAGTAACAGTCACAATTTGCGCACAAAATCTATAATTGCAACTATCTATGACATTCTTTGCTAGGCTGCGTAGCTTATTTAGCATGATCCATATGCTGGGCAAGTTGCAAGGCCACCTGTATTGCTGCCTCAGAACACACATCACTGACATTTCTCCTCTTCTCATCAATTGCTAAGACTTTAACTTTATATTCCACGTCTTTTCTCTCCTATTCAGACCTAAGAAGAAATTTGTTTGGCAAAAAGGCAGATTATCATCAGTGATATTTGCATTTACCAAAAGGAGGGTTAGAGAGATTTTTCACTGGCAACAAAATAAAAACAAACGCTTCCCTCCACTCCCTTTGAAAACTCTTCCTTTGTGATTTAAGAGCTGTTGCTTTGCTAGCTTTTAACACTTTTAGAAACTGAAAGGAGGGAAGAGTCAGGTAAATGTGCTGTCACAAGATCAAGGTAGGTGAATTCTCTCCTAGAAAGATGGACTGTATGCCTTGTGATCCCAGAGATGATAACTCAAGCTGTGGAGCAGCTTTCTTACCCAATAATGTTGGCATATTCACAACATCAGATTTCTGTGTTTTAACACACATTGGAGGTCAGTTCCATATTATGGTATTTGTAACCATAAGAGACCCAGACCTGTGATTTGGGATGACACAATAGGAAGTTGTGACAAATTACATCTGAAAATTCCCTTCATCTCTGTCACACGTGTTTCTTCCCATGTGGGAGAAGATATATTTTTTGCTATAGTAATGAGAACATAAAAGGTACCTGACAATTTTTTCAAAATGGGAATGAGAATTAGCTAACCTGATATGAGGTGGTTTTCAGTAGTCTTTCTTCTATTCTGATTCTCTGAATATCTTGGTGGCCATCTCTGCTGGAAGCACACCAGCCTGCAGAAAAAGACCTTATCCTGTGTCCCTTCCTCTCAACGTCTTGGATGCAGAGCTGGATGAGAAGATTCAGCTCCAGATGTTACTCTGACTGAAGCAACAGATCCTATGGAAGTTCTGCTAAAACAGGGCGGAATCATCTAAATGAGGGGTCAGCAAACTATGTATTGTAGGCCAAATATGGATTGTTGCCTGTTTCTGTAAATACGGTTTATTGGAACATATTGCCTATTTATGTATTTTCTCTGGCTGCTTTCACACTACAGAAGCAGAGCTGAATAGCTGCTGAGTAGCTACAACAGATACCATATGGCCGAAACTAGTTACTGCCTGGTTCTTTAATAGAAAAAACTTTGCTTATTCCTAATTTAAATCATTTTTATTCCACGGTTAGACAACTTTTGGAGAGTTAAGGTAGAGAATAAAAAGGAAGGAAGAAAATGCCTTTCACTGAAGTTGAACATGTTAGCTCAATAAGGTTTAAAGATAGAAGTAGATTACATGCATTCACACTATTCTAATTTGCTATCAATTGTGAAAATTTCAAAGAGTAAAATTTACTGAAAGTAGACATTTTCAGGACACTGTTTGAAGCTTTCAATAGAGTAGGTTGTTTGAATTTCTTATGTCAAGGAAATTTAGGCTTTCCTGGACAAGAGGTCTGAGTCTTAGGGAGAAACAAAATCAAGGAAACAAACAGCGCACCAAGTGCTGGCGTTCTATGACCCAGGACCCTGGAGGGGGCAGTGTGCTCCCGTGTGGCTTATTGCTTACTGCTCATTAGAGCCCGCACACAAAAGGTGGTTAACCTTAACCTCCCAGTTTGAGATGCATTTTCCCTACCATGTAAGGTCAGAAACTGATGACGATCGTAGGAGACGATCACTGAAGTTCTTACATATACTTTCAATGGAGAAACAAATGGAATAAGGTGGGAACACACACATACTCATTCAGCAAATTAATGACTGCATCCATGGTACATAGAGATTTTATGGCAATTATTTTCTTGTAAATAGTTAATTATAAATCATAAATTCTTATAGCCAGAATGGATTAGAGAGTTAATGTAGTTTGAATTCTATGAATCGCATTTGTGAAAAAAGAAACACAGGGATGGCAAGTGATGTGTTGGGGCAGACTGGCATCGGTTGTAGAAACACAGGGATGGCAAGTGATGTGTTGGGGCAGACTGGCATCGGTTGTAGAAACACAGGGATGGCAAGTGATGTGTTGGGGCAGACTGGCATCGGTTGTAGAAACACAGGGATGGCAAGTGATGTGTTGGGGCAGACTGGCATCGGTTGTAGAAACACAGGGATGGCAAGAGATGTGTTGGGGCAGACTGGCATCGGTTGTAGAAACACAGGGATGGCAAGTGATGTGTTGGGGCAGACTGGCATCGGTTAGAACCAGAGATGCCTTGCAGGTCTTTCAAGTGCTTGCCCATTGCTCTTTTTCTTTTTTTTCTTTAAGCAGATTCTGTTCTTTTGGTTAGTTTTCCATTCTTGTTCCCATATTGCTCAGAAAGTGACCTTGACATAGTCATGGCGTTCATGGATTTATAAACAAGATACCTCATCCTTTGCCAAAGTTGCTGGGAGATAGTAAACATGATTTTTTTTCCCTGTACATTCATACATTTTTGTACTCTTTCATTTTCAATATATGCCTTTTCCAGAGTGCATCTATTCTTTTCAGGCCTGTCTGTCTCTGTAAATTCCTTTTTCTCTTGCAGCAATGCCTCCTTCTCTTGATTTTCCTCTCTAAGCCTGACTGCTTTCTTGTTGGGCTTTTCGTGCTTGGATTCTGAATCCCTTTTGAAACAGGGAGCAGCATTCTATCCTTTCTTGGCAGACATCTACCTCCCTTTCAGAAAAGAAAGAGTCAGGTAGGATGTCTGTGAAAATAAAGAACAAAAAATGGAAATGACAGAGCAAGACACACAGTAAGAAAATAAGGCTTTGCTCAAAAGTACCAAAGGAAAAGGAAATAAAATGATTCTGGCAAAACTTGTTCTCTTTTCTCTTCATTCTGGGGCATGCGGGTGGGTTAGGGAGAGAGGAGAGGAGAGACTATTTGTCAATGCCTTCTCCCTGCTGGTTATCCCTCAAGCTGAGCCAGAACCTGCCTGCTCCATCAGTGTTACTCTGGATAGCATCAGGCCTGCTTTCTTCATCTAAAGTAATAAAACCCATTATGAGTCTCTCTATTCTACTCTCAACTCAACCACAATGTTAGCACAGAAACGAGTGGTGTGTGTTTAAGCAGCAGATTCGTTCACGATGCCTACTTTAATGCCCTCTGCTTTCAGACCTGAGAGTTATCATCCTCAAACTTCCTTTCTTTATATGGAGGCACGCACTTTTGCAGGCTGAGAAAACACATTAAGGGTTAAATAATGCTTAAGTCTACCCAAAGGTAGGGAGGAGGTGTAAGAAACTTGCTTCTCTGTTTCTGTGTCACTGGCTCAAGACTGTCCTGGGACCCCTCACAAGAACCAAGGTGACATCTTCTAACCCCCATTTGGGTGGCCTGATCAGCAAACCTAGAGGGGGGCCAAGATCAAAGTAGAGCTTTTCCATAAGGCAGAATGGGGTGGCAGGAAATGCCACACACAGTGCCATTTTCTTGCTCTTTTCCCACTTACCTAGCTGGACCTCACATGAAATAGAGCCAGAGGAATCCATAAAGCTATCAGGGCCTGGAAACCACATGGATACGCCCAACCCAAGTTATTTTTCAAAGACTAAAAGAGTCAAATCATCTTTCAGAAGTTGCCCCCAATTACCTGTTGATGCTGTTTTTCTGTGCTAACATCTGCCAGTCCTTGCCTTTGGCGTTGGGGGTATCAAATGTAGCACAAATTCGCTGTCTGATGGAGTAGGGAATTTTGAAGGCTTTCGGGCCAGTCTGTGCAGGGAAAGTGCTGTCCTCTTGTGCAAAGAAAGTGATAGTTTCTCTTTCACTCTGTAAACAAAATAAGGAAAGCATGATCAGATCCTAGTGAAAGCATTACTGATCAACCCTTTTATTTTTCAAGAAAATCTGTGTTAACATACATGCACAAAATGCTTGCTTGTTGTGATGGACTCAATAAAATATATTGACAAGTTTCCCTCTCTTCTAAAATAGTAAACAACTTCTCTAGTAGCCAAGTAAATCGTGTACTAGAGATTTAAAACAGCCTCTTTCACTCAGGGGAGCCACAATTGTCAGCTTCTTACATCCAAGGAGAAGTCAGGTGAGAGCAGAATTAGACCTTGATTTTTTTAACATTCAGGAATAAATCTTGAATCAGTAGGAAGAAGCTACCAAATGACATATTTCAGGTCAGTGTAAGGAAAGACCCTCTTATAGAGCTAACCAAAGATGAATGGGCTGATCAAAGGAGGCTGGCTGGGAAGCCATTTGTTAGGAGAGCTGTAAAAGGCAACTGATCCCATATTGATCATCTTAAAGTTTGTGTTTCCCCTAGTCCTAAAGTTGTGAGATTCTATAATAAATATTTTGGTCTTGTTTCAGAATTAAATTGCTCTGGTAAAATATGGGCCAGCCATGAGCCAGTGATGAGATCTAGACCAGCCTGGGGAGTGGTGCAGGCTGGAAAGCTTCTGCCTGCTGTGTGCCCACTCTGCTTCTGATTTAGAGCTGTCCAATGAGAACGCGCTATTCCAGTACATCACAGCAATTAGATCACCAGATCCAACATGAAATCACACAAAAATTGTGTGCGGTTGCTGATGAGTGTGAGTGGTTGCTGATAAGTCTATGTGGACAAATGGAATTTTAAGGCCTGGAAAGTATTTGAATCACTCCCAGGATTATGATACATTACATGATGAAATAGATTCTGCAGATGTAATTAAGGTCGTTAATCGGTTGACTATGAATTGACCATGGGAAAGATTTTCCTGGGTGGGCTTGACCTAATCAAGTGGCCCTTACAAGAAAGAAGAGGCAACTCTTATCTGGAGGTATCTATCCTGCTGGTCTGGAAGAAAGCCAACAGCCATGTTGTGACTGCCTACAGGGGAAGACATGTGGCTAGACCTGACAGTGGCCCCTGTTCAACAGCCAACAAGAGAATGGGGACTTCAGTCCTATAGCTGCAGGGACTGAATTCTGTCAACAATCCAAATTAGCTTGGAAAATGACTCTGAGCTCCAAATGAGAACTCTGAGCTCCAGGTGTCCCTGGCCACCACCATTTGATTTAGCCTGTGAGATCCTGATCAGAGAACCCACGTATGCCATGAATGGACTTCTGATCTACAAAAAATGTGAGACAATAAATGAGTGTCATTTTATGCTACTAAATTTGTGTTAATTTGTTAGGTAGCAAAGGAAAATTAATACAAACGGAAATAAAAGCATCAAATGTGAGATCAAGTTTAGGGACTAGTTAGGATTGTTTAAAACTCAAGAAGACATCTTGCGTGTTAGGAACATGTCATGCTGTGCCAAACTTTAAGTACATGCCCTTCCTGAACTGCCCTGTGTTCCTGCCCTGATGCTTTTTCTGATCTTTACACATCTTCCTGCCGTGGGCCCCACAGCCATGGTGGTCCTTCTTGGCTAGTGCCTGGCCTCACACAGCTGTAAACCTTCAGACTCAGTGAGTCTTATATCTTCAAAAATCAATTAACTAAGGAAACTGGTTCATGCAGAGACCTTATTAATGACTGATAATGTGTTTTGGCTTTCTGTAACCATTTAACACAGTTACTTTTGAGGTCTGTATTTGGAAACACAATGTCTTAACCTGGCATTTCTAAAAAGAGATCTCAAGATGCTCCAAGAAAGAGCAGTCCCATGGTAAGACATATTTGAGAAATGCTGTATATTATAACTTCTTGGAAATTCAAAGTGCACGTTATCATATTAAATAGATTCTATTTACTGGTTTTTGTTCTATTCCTGGAACACTATAGAACAGTGCTCACCAAAGTTCTTCCAGTATTTGAGGTTATCATGGAGTAATAGAAAAAGCATGGTTTTCAGAGTCAGAAAGACCTTGCTTTGGAGTATGAGTTTATCATTTCTCAGCCTTCATTTCCTAACCAGTCTTTTGGCTTTTTTTTTATAGACTCCACAGAGGTTATGAAATTTGGTAAAAGTCACCCAAGTGGTTTGTGAAGTAGCAGAAACTGGAATTCTGATATCCTAATACCTATACCAGGACTCATTTCACTGTGCTGCCCTGCTTCAACACAAGTATCAAAGATCTGCAGAGCAGGGTGTTTAAGGATCATGTTCTCTGAGTGATATTAGCATTATGCTTCAGGAATTAATTGTAGGAAGGGCTTCATGGAGGGGTCATGGGAGGCTATTGATTTACTAGAAATTGAGTAGATAGTGGTTATTTCAGGCAGAGTGGACAATTCTTTTCTGATATATTGGATGGTTATAAAATAAACCAACTCAGTCTTCTTACTGCATAAAATAGGTTATAAGATATGTCGTTTTTTATCATGGTTTGCAAAATTTCTTCTAGCCTTTAAAAATGCAAATTAAGTAAGAATAGTTTCCTTAAATATTTCCTGACTCAAAGCAGGATAATGTCCTTAAAAAGGATGGTAGAAATGAGAGAGAAAAAAAGGAACTCTATGCAAGATAACAGGGTAGTTGTCATTGTAAAATGGCACCAAAGGGTGTCAACCTGAGCAAAAGTGGCTTGCCAATGAAACTGAGACCACTGAAAGTATCCTCGTCAGGAATTACAGTAGACAGAGAATTGGCTTCTGGAAGCCCTCATGGCATCTATGAATTGACTAATTTGACCAGGTTCTGTCTTTGCTGTTTGCAGAAGAAAGACCATCTTGATATATAACATCTTCAGAAAAAGGTGGACAGAGTTGTATGACTTTGAAGGTGAATAAAATGTCATAAGAGACTGACTCTAAAAATAAGTATACTTTCTATTTACTACACTTTAGTAAGCGGGCCTCTATTTCCCTCATAAAGTTCCCAAATTTAAATATTTTCCATGCATAAGGATGACACTTTATGTAACATTTACGATGCATTCTAAAAGACATCTGGGCCAAGTAATAAGAATCCTGTAGATACACCACATTTTCGGATTGTTTAAATTAAATATGCAGAAGAACAGTAGATTTTCATGCTCTGCACATCTGAGATAAGCAGCTGCTACCTGGTTAGTTTAGGAGCTGTAAATCAGTGAGAAATTCCAAATATTCTGTCTATTTTGTAACAGACAAATCATCCCCCAACTTGACCACTTTTTGAAGAAAGATAAGAGGATTGCTTAAAGGAAAAATTGTAACATGCAAGATTCTCATTTAATTCATTCCAACAAAAATTAGATTCTTCAACAATACTACATTAATGAGGAATGATGAAATAAATTACTTGGAGATTCTTCCCTTCTCTTCAATATTAGCAAAGTTATTTTGCTTCAGTCCATGATTTTTAGATTGACGATACTGTTATTTTATAGAGTATCAATTGGCAATAATTGCTGGGTAATTCAGTTGGTTTAAATTTAAAGGGAACTAACTTACTTCTAAAGATTGACATACTAATGGCCACAGGACAGAACACACATATTTGAAAAATCATCGAGATAAGAAACATGAACAGATATGATGGATGCGAGGTTGAACATAACCAAATGCCTTCAATGAGGAAGATCACAGCACTGATTTAGATATTTAAAACCAATATTATTTTATATATATATATAATATACATACATATGTATGTCTTTTACCTCTCATGGTTCCATTGTTAAATTTATGAAATAGTGACACTAAGACAGTCCATTAAAGCCAGGTAGGGAGTAGGAACTCTCAGTCTGAAAATGCAGGGAATTTTTTTGGGAGGTGGTGGAGGTGGAGATATTAAAAAAAGATATTTGAAAGACATCAATCAAAAGCTTCAAGAGTTTTAGTTCTTTATTGTTATTTTATTTTTAATCAATGAAACCCTATTATTAACTTATTAAAACCACCAATGCAGTCTCTTCCAGCCTAGTGGCCATGAAGTATGATGCACTTTACTAATTGCTCTAATATCCCTAACTCACTCATTAATATGGTCTCTTGTCTAAAATCTATCCTGCCTCCTTCCCAGGTAATCCCAGTTTCCCAGCATTTTCTGTTTCTTCACTTTTTCTTGAACCATCTCCCCTGAAAATCAAGTCATTTTTAGGGAGAAGAGGATTTTTGTTCACCAGATGTATGCTTTTCCCAGGAGTGAGACAGTCTCAGGGTTGGAAGGACATTGAGTGATCATTCAATCGAGACATCCCTTTGCAAGAAGATCTACATGAAGGAAATCTCTTCTATTCTTGAAGATCTAGAGAATGAGCGTTTATTCTAGCCAATCACATCTCATCCTTCTGCAGTCTTGAGGAAGAACTCCCCAATTTTCATAGACTTTCAAAATCAAAGACAAAATTGCTAGTGCTGAGTTCATCACTAGTCCCTAAGCCCCCAAGCAGAAGGCTTATATTATGGACAAGGCCTACAATTAGGACTGATAAATTAGACCTCCTTGACTGTGATCCTGAGGTAGGATAGTATGGAAATCCAGACTTTGATCTTGAAGTCAGATATCTCAGTGGGAAACTCTGACTACCCATCTTATTAGCTCTATGATCTTGGACAAGAACATTGACCTCTTTGAACTGTTATATCATGTAAAATTATGATAGTATAACACTAATCCACAGAGTTGTGATGGTTATATGTGAAAGCACATGAAATGGTACCTGAAATACAGTGGTTTTCAAAAATTATTTTCTTCTGACATAGAAAATGGTAACAAATCAGATTTGCCTAAGAAATACAGTTTATTACAAAGAGATGGAGATGCACTGGGTCAAATTCCAGGAGTAACACTTTAAGCAATTAATAAAATGATCCTTACAGGATTAAAAGGGTTAATAAAGCTTCTAAAATGCAGTTGGCTCCAAATTGGATGACTGTAGCCCAACATTGAATATCTAAATATTATTCTGATACTTGCCTCCTTTTATCAAGAGATACTGTGATGTCATCTTCTTAAGGCATTTCAAAGTGATTGTAAACTTTGTGAAGCATCAGAAAAGGAATTGGAGAGTAAAGGATAAGATTATGTTTATTAACTCATTTTCCTTCTACGCAATTCAAGAATTTATGTAAGCAAGAGGCAAAGGTACCAGGATGTATCAACTCTGTCACATTCCTCTTACAGAAGTATCCTATAACAGCAGAAGTATGATCCTCAATATCTGAGCACCTTAAAATACAAAAACTTTTGAAAGCTGGAATTCTTTTGACCTGTTAACGGATATTTGGGGCAATTTGCATCAGAGGCGTCTTCATGTTCTGTCTTTTCATGCTTTCTTTGGAATACCAGCCCTTTTTGGATTTTCCTTTTGTTTTTATTTTAAAACTTTCTTAAATTTTTATTTTACTTTGAAATGTATTGTGTTAAATATGCCATGACTGTTCAAGAAAGAGACTCTAAAAATATGCTTCCCTAGGTTTCTGGATCTACCTCCCCCATCAAAACTACCTTAGCGCATAATGCTAATTGGCAATAATGAGGGCAAATACTGTATAAACATGTCAGTTAAGACAGCTATCAATTTTGAGGCACAATCCTTTGGAAAGCCATCCACTCTTTAGAAAAACTATTTGGGGAATTAGCAATACTCATTTTGCATAAACAATGAATTGAAATGAGAATGGAGGGAAGTGATAATGCTATAAGGCTGCAAGTTTTCAAAGAAAAAAAACCCTGAAGTTGAGTTGTATGGATACAAAATGTGTTAAACCTTCTGCCAAGCCAGAAAGAATAAATATATATTGTTTATATATTTGTACATAAATATGTGCATATGTATGTGTATGTATGTCTCTTGTCTAGAATGTATCCTGTCTTATTCCCAGGTAATACATATATACATACACACACATATATATTCTACAGGTGAATGATAAAATATGTGTTTTTCTAATCTAGCCAGGGATTACCACAGAATTACTAACCAAAAGCATCACATGTCCCACTGATTCTACTCCTCAGCTACTCTCTTCCTCTTACCTCAAATAACCATTCAGGAGGGAATGCCACTGTCAATTCTATAAGCTCAAATACAGAACCCTGAAGTCATTTAGTGGTTTAGAGCAAATCAGAGCCATGGCAGAGATCAGGTGTCTTTTTGCAAAAGTTCTCAAGTGCATTCTCCTTTGACACCCATTCTAACTCTGCCCTTCAATAGTGATATGACCTGGGACAAGGTCATTTTCCTTTTTCCAATTCCATTTCCTTACATGTGGAATGAGATTAATATCTACTCTATCTTATGTTATTGTATAGACAAATCTAGGTTTAATGGAAATGGGGATGTGCAGAATGCTGGGTCTGGATGGTATGAGAAATTGTAAGACAAAAAGGAGCCAAGGTCCTGAATATGAAATAACATGTACGAGCAACTGACTTCTGGAAAACTAGTCTGAAGCAGCAGAAAAACAGCCCAATGGTGACCTTGTGTCTCTTTATGGTATGTGTCTCAATTGTACCATCAGCCAGTAATAAATCTCAGCTGATATTGCAAGCCTACAAGGGACTAGTAGATTGTGATTTTGTGTATAAAAAGCCCTGTACCAGTTCCTTCCTCAAAGTTCTGTCCACAGAGCCAAAACTCTGATGGGTTGAGTTCCCCTGCCCAATGATAAGCTGAGTACAATCTTCATGCTGAGAAAAGTTTATTTTCCTTTATCAATAATGAGGATTAAGAGTTAGTGCCTTTTGAAGCTGTTTCAGAACTTGTATAGCACGACTGAGATAGGTATACTGTTCTTCTTATCCTTTAGAAATAGGGTCAAGCGGCCCATGGACAAAGGACTCACCTCTAGGATTGATGTCTGCACTTGGAGGATCTGTTCATGGCCTTTGAGCTGCCGGATGCAGATTTTGCAGGACAGCTGGGTGGTGGTGGGCGTGTAGCGCTCCAGGGAGAAGGCACAGTGCAGGGGCTGCCGGTTACTGCACCACACGCGGGAGAATGGGACTTCCTGCAGGGCAGACGGGGGAGAGAAGAGGGGTATGGTGTGCAGAGCCCAGCTGAGATGAGCAAAGAACACGAGAGACTGAATAGCAATTATGATGATGATGACGATGATCGCAGCAAAGATAACTGCCTAAGTGATGTTGGTGGAATTGTTGTAGAAATAATGTTCCAGCATTATGCCAAGCAGCACAAACATAATTAATGTCAATTCCTGTTGATAATATTTGAATTCCAAAACCACAATGCGAGAGCTCAGATTTCACTTGGTGACACACACAATTAGAAAGAATACTATCAAAAATTAATCATCATGTTTTCCCACTAAAAAAATATTCTTTAGAAGACTCCTATGGTCCATCCTTCTACCTAAGCCTGAGTATCTTCTCACTTAAATGAAAATTATGCTAAAGAACTGACTAACCAGAACTTATCCTCAGACCACAAACTCATGCAGGATTGGATAAACAGAACACAATATTGCTAATGTATCCAGCATAAAAATATTATTGCAAAATCACATATATATACATGCATCCCAGAAAGAGACACAAACACACAGGGCCTCCCCAGCGTAGTCTAGTTTACCAACTCCTTATTCATTTAATTCATCCATTCCACAATTATGTGTACGGTGCCTGCTAATGACCAGACACTGTATCAGATAAACAGTAAGAAAAATAAGAAATTAGGTTTGGTCCCCACTCTCAAGCGACTTACAGACAATTGAGTGGCAAAAGTAATTTTTACCGAATGGGGGGGGAAATTATAAGATCTTTACAGATCACCCTTTTCCTCAATACTAGCCATGCTTGGCACGAATTGGACTGTGCTCAGGCACATGGCTTTACAATCATGTGAAGCAGAGGTCAGTCATTGATATTCTTTCATCTACTAAAAAGTCTCTGCTTCCTACTCAAATCAGGCTGGGGTCCTTGGCAATGGCCATGTATACCCAACCTGTAGTAACCTTCATCCTCACTTTTTTCTCCTTTTTGTATCTCATTAATGTGCTCTTATACCTGTTGGTATAAACATAATTTTCTCCAGTACTAAGAACGAAGGGTGGCAAAAGATGTTTCAAGTCTGGAAGTTTGATACTCTGAAGTGTGACTGGTGATGAAGCCAGCATGTGTTGTAAGTCCAAGGGCCGTGATTAAAGTTCAGTCTAGTCACTTTGAGGAACTATAAGATACCTAGATATTCCTGAGCATGCTTGTTTGTCTCCTAAATTTCTCTATAGGAAGTCTCACAGATCCTGATTTGGGATCCTTCCTGAGAAGACCAACCAGGAGGGATAGATTTTAGATTGTTGCACCCTTGAAGAGAGGAGAGCCAGCTTTAGGGAGTACGAGAGAACAAAAGCATTAACCTCTACCACACATCCCAGCAATGCACGTGAGAGCTTTGTGTTTTTGTTTTAGGTGTTTGTTCTTAATCCTGAATCAAGGGAAAGGCAGTGAACCTTTGTCTCTAGAGGTAGAGACAAGGACTCAGAGAAGTCTATATGTGTGACACTTTGCAGCATATTTCATTGACTTTATTCCTGTGCAAATTGTGGGCCATTAGTATACCACACTATCTTTGCCATTCTCAGGTCTCCCCAAATGACAGGTGCTGGAAGTCTGAAAACTACATTTCACAGACTCTTGCCAGCAGGGAGTTCACATTTTCACTCTGCCGATGAAAGGCATTTGTGCTAGACTTGGAAGGTAGAAGAGGAGTGGAAACTATCACTGCTCCTCAAATACCAGCAAGATGACAGGACAGGTGAGGTTTGCAGGGGCTTCAGGACGTTCCCCTGAGAACCATCTGCTTCAGTGCTATTATGTTTCTCTGCAATTCCTGAACTTTCTGGTTTTCTATATCATTAGTGGCTTTCTCTGACTCTGGCTCTACGAGGCTTTCGTAGGGTTCTGTGAGCACATAAATCCCTCGATTAAACTTCTCCCTGGTTGAAATATCTTGAGTGGTTGCTGTTTTCTTGACCAGTACAATTCTCTAATGGAACTCCAGTGGATTTGAAGTTCTCTTAGATAACCTCTAAAATGAGCAGGACAACAACAAGAGGTGCCACCTCTGGGTTCCACAGAGTGGCTGTTGTCTAGGGGAATGGCTGGGAGCTAATGTTCACTAAGGAAGCTCTTGACTAGGGCACAACTTGCATATACCACTAGCAAGACAGCAGGGGTCCATTTAATGGTACCTCTTTCCCACTGTCTTCTTATACAGAGAGTTTTACTCGCAATCTCTTCTCTTTCCCTCCTGGTAGTAGACATTGCAGCAGAGGGCATTTCTGATCAGTGCAGCCTCCTAGCAACCTTTAGAGGAAGTCATTTTCTTTCTTTCTTTCTTTCTTTTTTTTGTTTGCTGAGGCAGATTCACCCTGAGCTAACATCTGTTGCCAGTCTTCCTCTGTTTTGTATGTGGGTAGCCACCACAGCATAGCTGCCAACAAATGGTATAGGTTCATGTCCAGGAACTGAACCTGGGCTGCTGAAGTGGAGCACACCTAACTTAACCACTAGGCCACAGGGCCGTCCCCTAAAGGAAGTCATTTTCCCTAGAACACTCAAAGATGACTTTTCAACTGCACCAAATTCTACACCAGATAAAATAAATAATATGTGTTTACAAGTTCTGCCATTTCTCCTTGTTGCCCAGTCTCACTCTTTTCATGCTCCTCCTGAGCCTTCTTTGGTTTTGTAAGGCATAAGTAACCTCTATTTCACATCTCTTCCTGAAACACTTCTCTTTCTGCCTATTCAACTCTTCAAGGTCCCGTGTGCTCACATATGCCCAATTGCCATCTCTCTGTGGAGGACTCCAATAGTTACATCTCTGATATTTATCTCATTATCATTAATCACTAGCATTATACCTCTAATCACTATAAATCATTTTATTTGGCCTTTATTTTCTCTGATAACTCTACCTTATGAAAACTGATTATCAGCACCTCTCTCTCTCCCTCATTGTCATTCTTCTCCAATTTTCCTCTCTCCATTAATGATCCTCTTCTCTCACCTCATTATAGCTAACTGTAGTAACCTATTCACCAATCTTCCTGCCTCACTCTCTACTACACAGAGCTAATGAGGGGGTTAGGACTTGAGTGGAGAGGGAAACAAAGCAGTTGATTGGTATTCTTCAGGGAATAGCATTATGGTCTCTCTTTTACCTCTAATCATGAGTAGGGGACACAGACCACCTGGGAACCGTGCTTTCAACACAAGATCCCTTTGTTCGGGGGACCAGAATGGCGCCCTGATGCCTGCCATGTTAAACACAGTCCCTGCGTGGCCTTCAAAGGCTTCCATCATCTATTTCCCCATCCCTATTCTCTCCATTCTCAAATAAACTCTCTTCTCTAAACCAGTGGATTTTTATAGAGTTACTTTGCACCATCTCTTTCAATGAAAGTAACTATAACATAGAGCTCTGTGGTTAATAGGTACTTTTGGCTAACTAATGAGATTTTGCCTAACTAAACTTAGGAGGTTTTTGTTTTCTAAAACTGAAACTTGAGTCATTACAGTGTAATATAAGTGCCTAGACTTCAAGGATAGACGGAGCTGAATTCAAGTTTTGGCTCTTAAACAAATCTGCATTTTTTGCTGTGAATTTGAATCTGTGGTAATACTCACCTTCCTAAAAAGTAGGACTGACCATTTATTGAAAAGTGTCTTCTCTGTTATGACTTACTAAATTTCCTGTATTTTCTCCTGAGACCATTGGAAGAAAGGTAAAAGGAGTAATGCCCACTGCAGAGATGATGTTTCCTTGCAGAAAGACGTGAGAATAAGCACACACATAAAAATCCTCTTCTCTCCTTCCACTCCACTGCACACAATCAAAACATTTTAAAAAACTGATTTGAAAACAGGATCAAAAGAATATTTTTTGTTGTTGACTTGAGTAGCAGCTGCCAATAGTGCTCAACAAAATATTTAAAAATAATAGAATTAGAAGGACTGTGATTAGTGGGTTTTCAGGGCAATCATCTTTGCTTTCATTTATTCAGAATAAAAAACACAACACCACCAAGCTGAGAGGAATCATGTGGAAAGTAATATGGGAGGACAAAGAATAGCAAAGTTATGGGTGTTTAAAGAATTCCGGAAATGTTTTCATTTTGATTCCATTATAATTAGGTTCCTAGCAGATGGAGAGAATGTAAATCGTATCCTAGCAGGAGACAGACACTGGGTTCTTCAAGATACACAGCGTGCTAAAAAGACAGCTGCTTTTATCCTAGGGAGGTGACAGCCTGACTTTGTGTTTTGTAGAATTTAGAAAATAAATTAATATTTTATTGTATACTGTTTATTACAGCTTTTCCACCCCACAGTCAGCAAGGAATAAAGGAAACGGTGATTAAGTAGAACTCAGGTCCCAGCAAGACTGTTTAATTCCTGGAGGAGGGTTCCTAAACCTGGGGAGGGGACAATAGCATATCTCTAATTGTGATAGAATCTTAAAGAGCTCGAGAAGAAAAGTGGAATAATTGTAGCATTGTGGGCCTCTGAGTCAAGGTTGATGGGTGCTGCTGTAACCAGATGTCCTAAGAGCTCACAGACCCTTGCCTTTCCTCTCACTCATCATACCTGGCTTCATAAGAATTAAGGGTTGTAGCATAACATTCCATAAATTTTAGTTCTCCAGAACTTAAACCAACAAGACTTAAAATCTAGTCTTCCTATACACAGTCTCTCATCACAGCTCTGGGCCCAACCTTGAACTCACACCACTCTAAAAACATTTCTTGTGCAGTGGGTTGGTGTCTGATAGGGCAAATATTCTTTGCACTGGATTGTTCCCAGGCCTGTGCCTTCCTGGGAAATTCCACTTTTCCCAGAAAAAAGCAGGAAAGTTTCTTAGAAGAGCAGGCTTTGGGGACCAAATGGCATATGTCCATTCCCAGATTCCTGATCGGAAGTGAGAGAGAGGAATAAGAAGACAAAGATACCAGCACTCTTTGTGCACTGAGTTGGAAGATGACAGAAGATGACAGGGAGATTTACCAGTTGAAGGAGAGACCTATAAATGATGTCAGGCATTGTGAGATATTCTATCTCCACAATATCTCTGTGTTAGTTCCTATCCACTAAGCCCTAATGAAAAGCCATTCTCTATTATCCATGCCAAGTTTGTCAGTGCAAGTGCTGTTCTACATAAGGTGCGAGAAGGCTGAACACAAACCCTCTCCAAAGTGCTTACTTCTGATGCCCAGAAAACACAACATAGCCATCAAGGCAAGCACAGTATGTATTCACACAAGCTGGGGGGTTTCAATGATGACAGGGGCGAGGAATTGGTGGTACGGGTGGTGAAGAGAAAGGAGGAATAGAGCAGAAAGCCATTTGTGGGTGAGAAAAATGAAGTGGAAACAGAAACTCAGTGGATAGAAAAGGAAATTGTTTCTCAGCCTTCCAAGACTCCTTCAAATTATGCTCAATTACAGAAGGAAAATATTTACACATGTTCACAACTTCCATGCAATCCATCCCATCCCAGCGGTAAAGCCTGTTGAGTTTTCTTGTGAGCCAGTGCCCTTTGGCTTTGCCCGGTTCTGTTGCATCCTCTAAGGGCAGCAGGTATTGAACCCTTCAAGCCTTTTCTGCACAGGGCTCTCTTTGGAATCCCTGGTGCTGAAATTATTAAGTGCTGGTGCAAGGTTACGGTTTTTTCATTTGATTTTTTATCTCCAAGCACTAAACTTAATTGTTACTTTGGAGTGAGTAACTTGTGTTAGATCCAGTGAAGGGGTGCCCTTAAACCTATAAAGATTAATACAGAGGAATTTCCATGACTATCAGGACTTGTTTTAATACCCTGAATTTCAATTTGGACTAGAAACTTTGAATACTGCTTTCTGGAAAACAGAGACACCAAGTCTAGAACATCATAAAATACAGTTAGTCATAAAAAAAAACCTCTCTCCATAAGGAAATGTGCCAAAAACAAAAGTTTTGTGGCCATGAGTGATGTTCTTGTTGCTTCCAATGCACTAAAACTGTACACGGAGGGGCAATTCCCAAGGAAATGAGAAGTATGAAAAGCAAATAGGAAAATATGACCTTGTCTAATTTGAAAATGCTGAATTTTAGAAGTTGAAAGGATTGGCAGTTCAAGTTTTTTCTAACTCTCATAGTGCAGTCAAGGTTGTTCTCTTTGTGGTTTGGCTTGTTCCCATTCCGACACCTGGTATACCTCATGTAAGTTTTCTTTTTTAAATGAGTGTTGCAAGGATGGAAAGGTTAAAAACCCGCAGGGCTCTGCGAGTTATGTTGATGGGCAGAACAAAGAAGTTTGAAAGCCTCCTGTGATTCCAAATCAATACAAATCTACCAGAAGCTTTTCCAGAGTTAAGGAAATGTCCTGTCACATGAAGCACAGATGACTCTGGCTTAAGAAAGTCCCGTAGAGCAGCTGGCTGCCTATGATGAAAATACTTATCACTGGGAATTTCCATAGAATTCAGTGGCAGGGTCACACATTGAAAAGCAACCTTTTTATGTAAACATCTACTCAAATACCCAAGGAGACTATCAGGGATTCTGCAGTCTTTTTAAAAAGTCTCTGATGCAGAGATATGTGAACAATAATACTATATAAATATGTTTATATATTTATAAAAGGATTCTAGAGGCATTATCCTTTCTTTGCCTCTCAACTTGTAATTTCCTCTTCCCATCTTGCCCAATTCATTTGACAGCAAGCACTTCATATATTTAGGACAGAATCTCTTGTTCCCACTTGGCCAGTCGTAGATCTCTACAACTCAAAATCATCACTTTTAAAAGGTTTCTCACTGACATCCAGTTCATTCATTGCTGAATATGATTAAAATAACGTCTCATAATGAAGAGATGAATAAAATACAAACCAACAAACAAACCTTGCTCTGAGTTGCTAAATTACCATCTTCAACCTATATGGAGCGACAATGTAAACAGGAGAGAGAAGAAATGTCACATTACCTCACATACAAGCACCTTTTCTCCACCTGTTAGAGACCTGAGAATTTACGACAATATGTTTCATTCCCTGTGTGTAGTCCAAACTGTTACATTTCTGTGACAGTTTTCAATTTAAATGCATACTTTTAAGGGAGGAGGAGAGTCAAGAGTACCCTCACCAGGGTTTGTGACAGGTTTGCTGGTTGAAGCAAAGCTGTTTCTGTTAGAAACCCATTTGCCCGGTACCTGGCATGCAGTGAATGGTTTAATTCTCCAGAGGAATGGGGGGATGTCAAGGACAGAGATCTGAAGACTAAAGGTATTCCCTTTGAAATGCAGCAACTTTGGCTCTTCCAGGAGCTGTCCGCCTTGATGCCTTTCATCTGAAACCACTTCCTATAGGACAGGGAAAAGAGAAGAGGCACGCAATGAAGTACCAGTTTCTTCCACATTCTCTTTCCGTAGATAGCTATGCTCACTACCATGTATCTCCCAGAAAGAGATAAACAGCATAATGGACACACATTCTTTCACACCCCCATATCCTTGCAGGGTCAGGATTAAGGACCAAAAGCTGCTGAGTAATAAGGATTTGGGCAGAAAGAAACAATTGTTCTTTATTATATGTGTTGCTTAGGCTTTTAAGCCTTTCTTTAAAAGACTTCCCCTCCCTCAAGCAAACTGTAATACTGTTGTTTCCCCAATTGTATGCAGTTCATTCTGGTACAACTATGATCAAGGGATGTATTCATATTTAACCTGACACATCATCATATGTGACACTAAAGGTAGAAGCAACTCCTCTCCACTCTGGTTCACTTGTTTGTCACCAACACAGGCATTATACAATATCTATTCTTTGGCTCAAAATAAATGTTATAGAGTGCACGTACCATGTTTATTTGTGGTAATGTTCATAAAAGTTATTACGTCAAAAGGCCAAGAAAAAATAAGCTACTTATTGTCAGTTTTAGCTCAGAAAAAAGACATCAAATTCCTGTGATAAATAATTCTGTATCTTTCACTGAGAAATCTTTATATCTAATACAAACACAATTCATACACATTCTATTGAGTAAACAATTTAATTAGTTCCAAATTTGTGGTTTTTAGAATCATATTGGAGAGATGATAGGACAAGTGAAATAACAGAGCAGATATGAAGTCTATAAACTATGAAACTACTGTGGGGGTGAGGCTTTAAGTGTTAATGGAGATAAAAGATCTCCCTAAATCCATGCTTAAAAATCACCATTAATTAAGTTATAATTTCCTTACAGAGCTAGGAAAAATAAGAACATTGAAATCCTTTAATTATGTCCCATAATCTTCCCAGATTTTAAAAAAGATTGTAAGAAGTCAGGCAAATAGGTTTATAAATACAATAGAACTTACATTTCAATTATCAGTGAGTAAAAACAGCTTCAAAGGCTTTTCTTATTCATCTCTTCTCTATGTACAGAATAACATTAATAAAAACTTGTCTGACTAAGAAGCAGCTGTCCAGCTTTTATCTTTCATATACACATAAACTGTTAATAGATTGCTAATATCATCTCTCAGGACAAAATGATTCAATGCCAATGTCATTTTCTCCAGCTCTTTGGTCTTGGTATTGGGAGAGGTATTTCTTGAGGCCCTGAGTCAGCCCTGAACTTTCTGTGGTGATGAAAATGTTCTATATCTGTGCTGTCCAATGTGGCATCCACTAGTCACAGTGGCTATCATGCACTTGAATGTGGCTAGAGTGACTAAGAAATTGAATTTTTAATTTTAATTAACTTGAGTTTAAATACTCACATGTAGTTATCAATTACTATATTGAACAGTCTAGTGCTAGGAAATTCATCACATTGTGGATCTAACAGTTGGATATAACAACATGGTAGCCAGTGTCTGATAGGAGATACAGACAGTGTACAGACACCGGCAGGATGGGGAGGAAATGGAATCCATTCCAAAGGCTGACTTTAGATCTTTTACAGATGTTGGTCACTGGTTCCTTCTTATGAGATTTACTGAGTGTCTACCGGATTTATACTTGCGCTGGACTCTGGGTGTAAAGAAATGAAACTGTCTATGCCACCAAGGAGCTCACAGTCTAGTGAGAGGGTTAGAACAGTAGGCACATGATTATCACTTAGTGTCTAAGTAGTATAATATATGTATGCCTGGGAGGCTAAGGCAAGACAGAGGTGCCTAACCCAGATGGGAGGAGAGGCCAGGAAGGGAGTCAGGAAATTAATAGAGGAAGTGATATTTGAGCTGAATCTTGAAGTAAAATGGGGGCTAGTCAGGGGAAAAAGAGGGAGAGTGCATTCCAGACACTGAGTAGGGTGCGTACAAAGGCACTAACAAGACAGAGCTGGGATAGAAGGTTGGGGTGGAAAGTGTGTGGCTGGAGATGATGACAATGTAGGTCATGGGCCAAATCATGAATTCTCATTTGCCATGCTAATGACTTTGTGTTTTATTTTAGAGTAATGTTGCTCAGCTTTTAAGGTGCATCAGAATATTCTGGGGGCTACATATACTCAAGAGAGTACTGATCTTGTACACCAAAAATGGAAGCACAGGATTCTAATCACACTTCTCTGTGGTCTTGGGCAAGTTACTTAGTTTCTGTAGAGCTCAGTTTCTTGCTTGGGTTTATTCATAGCCAAGTAAAAAAATTAGCATGGTACTATACTAACCTCTTTTTGCCGTTCTCTCTAGTGCAAGGTTAGAAACAAGTACAAATAAGAAACATGCTTATTAAAACCATATTAAAGCCAGAGAATAACAACAGTGTTGATACTTCAAGGAATGTTTGACTAGGCTCTTGAAAGTGCTCCCCTTTTCTTTAAATCTGACTTGGCTGAATGCACAGAGAAGTAAACTGATGTCAGGAGATGAAGTGACCTGTTCGAGGTCCTGGGTTACTCAGTGTAGAGCTAGGCTCTTTTAGTATTTAGAGAGTACATAGCACTACCACACTAGAAGGGAACTTAATCAAGTTAAACCACTAAGTACCTTATCTACAGATGAAAACACGAGAGCCCCCTAAGAAAGTTATCTGCCTAAAGCCACATGGTTAGTGTCAGAGCAAAGACTAGAACAGGCAACCTGATAACGGTCTAGCGTTTTTTTTCTACTACATTTCCCTGCCTTTTCCTATACAAATTTTCATTTTTTTTTTTAAGAGTGATGTGAAGGTCAGAACGCTATTAACTCTGTCCCATAAATAACTTTTCATTGGTGCAAGATATTTGTAAAGATGACATAAGTCAGTCTGCGTTTGCCCTAGAGTTACATAGCTGTCTAAGCTGTTCCTGAAATGCATAATGGAGAATATTGGGAATTTTTAAAATGGATATCTACTTATAATTATCACAGAGGAAAATGGTACCTTTTAAAGATTTCTGCTTTAGGGCCCCAAATTTAAATACAATCATGATTTATTTTTGCTTTTTTAGCTTGCTTACTTTAATGTTCACATATTGAACCAGGTATATACAATTAACAGTGTCTGGTAATCTTGCACAAAATATTAAGCAATTATAGTTATTCTGGAAGAAAAAATTAATTATTAAAATGAAGAAGCCCAATAATGAACTAATCATTGTATTTATATATTTGTAAAGGCACAATTGGCTTCAGAGTTAAAGAAATAAACTCCTGAGTACAAGCTTTAACATCTTTTTTTTTTTTTGGTATGCTTTTTTTTTGGTGAGGAAGATTGGCTCTGAGCTAACATCTGTTGCCAATCTTCCTCTTTTTTTTTTCTCCCAAAAGCCCCAGTACACAGTTGTATATTTTAGTTGTAAGTCCTTCTAGTTCTTCTATGCAGGATGCCGCCACAGCATGGCTTGATGAATGGTGTATAGGTCCATGCCCAGGATCCAAACAGGCTTCCCCCAAGCAGAGCAAGTGAACTTAACCACTACGCACAAGGCTGGCCCCCTCCAAGCTTTAAAATACTCTCCAAATAGAATAAATTTTATTTAACACAGAATTCCCAGTTACTCCCTTAATCTATTGTGTTCCTCTCAGGGGCAAGGCCTGTACATCTGTATTTTTAAATGCTTCTCAGACGATTCTTATGCCCAGCCAGGTTTGGAAATCAGCTATGCAAACAGCTCTGCTGAGTCAGTTCTGAGTCACGTGGATGGACCACCCCAAGAAGGAGCCCTCAGATTCATTTGATTTTTCCTATCTTTCTCCTACATGACAAGGACCTTCTGTCAAATCTCTGGTTCTATTCTTAAATTGATATCTATGTTAATTAAACTAAAAATAGTGTCTGGCCACTTTATTGCATATAAAATGTACTCAAGCCTCTGGTCGGTGGTTTTTCTAACATCTCTCCTTCATTGTTTCACATTGGGGGTTGCTAGGAATGCAGTTCTAGGAGTTGTGGCCAGGAGAAACTTGTGCTTTGTGCCTCACTGAGCTCTTTATGTTGATTTAATGGGACAGGCAGCAATATTCAGGTGTGCTTCAGGGATACTAAACCAAGGAGGCTGAATTTACATATTTATGAGACAAAACTGTTTGAACTTAAGTGTGCACGTGCACACACACACACACAAACGCACAGAAATTATGTCGCAGTGGTGTTTTCCTTTAAATGCTTTACATGAACAATTTTTCCCAAGGTTGCATTATTGATAAACACAAGAACTACATCTGGAGGAAATCCTCTGAAATTAGATTCTAAATCCACATTAATGCCAAGTTAGTAATGAGTACCGAGAGGTACTGAATAGGAGTGCTGGGAGCAACGGAGAGAAAAACTAGTTGTTTTTTCTTTCTGAGATAGGGCAAAGGCTTAATTCCTTGCTTTCCCTAGGTCAAGGTTTGTTTGAGCTTTGTATGTCTGTGTATGTGTGTGTGTGTGCACGTCTGTATGAGAGAGAGAGGGAGAGAGAAAAAAGAGTGTAATAAAACACAATAACAAAAATCTAGGTCTTAAAATATTACTTCTTTGAGAACATATCACCACTCCTCAAACTTTAGTGTGAATTCATCAAAGGAGGCGGTTCAAACACACACACATAAAATGGCAGCTCTAATTCTGACAGAAACACAGGAGCAAGAGGGACAAGAAGTCATTTGGTCCTTCACCGTCTCCTCACCAGCAGGAAGATGGCATTTTTATTTTTAAAAAAACATCTGAGCTGATTTAATTTCCCATAGAGATAGTTTTAGATGTGGTTATCAGAAGAGATCTTCAAAAATCTGAAACTAAATTAATTATATCTTACCAAGGTGTGTGAGGTATTTCCTTTTTGTCATTCAAAGAAACTGCTACTATTTTTCAGACAAAACAACTCCAGAGCAAATGAGAAGCAAGCATAGTAGGCCTGCGTGAGGTGTAGAGTAAGGAGGGCATGACTGAAATGGAGAATATTTCTGTTTGATTACTAGAATAACTTTTGGTGCGGCCATTATATTGCCAGGCCCTCATCTAGTCCTAAGAGGACAGAAGAGTTGGATCTGGAAGCTGTCCTTCTTTCAAGGTTTTCCAGTAAAGGGTAGGCTTTTAAGCATTTTATGGGACATAATTTGCCAGTGAGATATGGATGAAGTGAAAGATGGGAGCATGCCCTTCAACCAGGATTCCTTCTCGGTTGAGAGCAGAGTTCTAGTCGATCACATATCTATTATCATTTCTTTGAGATATGAAAGATGCACTACAATAAGTATAGCAACTGTCACAACCAAACTTGTATCTATTTCCAAGTCATAACAAACGTTTTCACGATAGTGATAACTGAGGCAAATCCAAGATAGGCAATTTCTTCAGAAGCGCTTCATGAAAAACTACATACTAATTTTGATTAAGAAGTCAGCGTTCTATCAGAGTTACAGAAAATGAGTCACCACTGTAGACAATATTTTCAGCTCACATCACACAAGTTGGGGAGCTAATGTTAATGTGTGAAATCTTTTAGAGGTTCAAAAAGTGAACTGTTGCTAAGGCTTTCTTAAAGTGCGACTATTTTAATGGATTAGTAACTATATAATTTTCCCCTTTAATCAACTACCACATATGAAGCTGTGAAAAATATGACATAAATGATTTGAGTTATTAAAGTGGTTTTAAATGAACCTTTGCAAAGGTCCTGAACACATTCACTTAGCAGGGTAAAAATCCCGAAAGCGAGATCCTTTCAGAAACAAAACCCAGAGACTAATACCCGGGAGTAAATGGACGTTTCAGAAAAGCTACAAGTTATGTTTTAATCTTTCTGTGGGCCAGAAAAGTTATTCAACCAAGGCTGATGATCTCTCAGAACCCCAGGGGAGAAGCACGGCCTTTGCTGCTCATGACAGCTGTCACATACATCCTGTCAATAACTAGTACAAGCAAACCCAACTTTAAAATCAGGTTTATTTGACACAATAGGAGAGAGAAAGGATCAGTGGAGGTAAATAGATTATGACAAATGGGGTCAAAGGTATTTCTACTGGAAAATGTTTCTCTAAAGCAAAATTAAAGAGTTTGACGAAATTATCTCTAAATGATGACAAAAGATATTTAGATTCAAGTTAGAGGGAGAATATCATGTTCCCTAGCATTGGCTAAGAAGGGAATATTACCCACAGGAATGGAGAGTGGTTTGAAAAGCTGTGATTAGGGCCTCATTTTTATGACTTCTACTGCAATTGATATTCATCCGTGAACCGTTGAGCTGTTGTAGAATCTGGTAGCAATCAACAGGAATGAAAATAGATTATCTGAAAGTCACTCCAAATAAACCCTTTCAGCAAACATCCAACTTACTGCTATATACATCAGCAGTGAAACCATTATTCAAAGAAAATTCCAAGCTTGTTATGAGGGCTGACTTCCAAGGCAGTTGTGACAATGAGATTCTCATAGTCACACTAGTCAGCAGTGGGTTACCCATATGAGCCAGGAGATGGGAAATCTTCCATGGCCATCCACGTTTACTCCAGTTTACTCAGCCTTCAAAATCTGGCTGAGTTACTAAATATTCAACTTGAGTCATGGTGCATTTTACAACTGTTCAGTCACAGTAACAATCTCAATTCATTCTTTATTTTGATTACTGAATGTCTGTTATGTATTTTATCTTGGAGAAATTCTCTTACTTGGGATGGCAAGAGCGGAGGAAGAGTATATAATGGCAATCATAGGATGAGATATAATTACTTAGGTTGAAGTCTCTACTCAAGAAAATGGCACCCCAATGAAAAAAGCCTCTTTTCTGAAGAGCCAAATATTAAGTGTGCCCTTCACAATGACCTGTGCTACTTAAGAGATAGTGAGGGAAGGTTTGGGAACATAGGTTGTCACTGTGTCACCTTATGGCTTCTGTTCAGGATTCAGGTCTTGGTATCTCTTCTATTGGTAAACGTGAGTTTTCCAGCTCAGTGTCTTAAAGGCTAGTTATGGAGAAAATGCTCTGCATAATGGACTTAATGATACACGACTGGAAGAGCAGGGATCTGGGATGAGGTGTGTCAGGAGCGCTATGCTACTTATAGATGGGCAAAGCTTACACAGGCACGTCTGCATTATCCTTGCTGCTATTAATAAACGCACTCTCTTATAAGTAGGTAATTTTAAATGAATCTTACATGATTAAAAATACCAAAAATGGAAAGGAACCTTGAACCATCTCTGCTCTGGTAGCCCTAATAATTAACAGACTGTGTGTCCAGGATATGATATGACTGCCTGCTGGTAGGTATGATTTATAATTGTTGTTCCCTAACTACAACCTTGAGTTGATTCAAGCAATTTTCTCAGTGCCCTCTGCACATCAAATAGCTCTTGTTGTTCCTGTGGCTCATGCCATTTTCTTTTCTTGTCACAGTATCCCTTTTTCTTTTACTTCGAACTCTCATTCATCTTGGAAGGTTCACAAAGGGTTCTAAAAAACTCCTCCAGTCCCTCTATCGCAATTGAGTCTGTTTTCTGAATTCCGACTACACTTCTAGTCAGTTTTATAATTTAGCACACGATGTTCTCTATATGTCTTAATTTAACCCTTCTCTCTTCTTGAGTGCCAAGTACCTCGTACCCTCAGAACTCAGCACATTGTTGGACATACAGAAACACAGATTTTACTTCAAGATAGTATCTCCATCAAGCCAGTAACGTGGGTTCATTTTCCAGACCCTCAGCAATAGGATTGTCTACTGATAATGATCTTTAGGGAAACCTCATGCTTTTATGACACCAAAAGAATTATAGAGAAAAGGCTGACCTGAAATGCACAAGGGGTATTATCCACACAGTAGACTCTCAAGTTATAATCCAGAGAGTTACAGGACATGCATCCAAAAACCGCCACCTTGAGTTGCTTTACGGCACAGTCTGTGATTGGTTCTCCAGTGAGGGCATATGTCCCAAAGCTATCTAGGAGCACGTGGCATGCAAAGGGGTCCAAAAGGCAGTAACAGGATGTGGATTCATCCTCCACTGACATCACTTCCTGTTGGGAAAAGGTGTGTTAAATTCTCTCAGCTTGAAAAGAAAATGTAATTTAACAGTTACTTTGCAAGGATATAAACAAACAAAATTTTTTTCAACATATTTTTATTGTGCTCAGTTTCTTGATGTTAAAGTCTCCTCTTCTATAAAAATAATTTCTTACATCAGGAACTCAAGAAATGGTTATATTCAATGTGTTAAAGTTCTACTGTACAAGCTATAACAAATATCACTTTGAAAATCCTCTTTTCCTTAATTCAATTCTGAACTTTTAAGAAAAAAATCTTGAACGTTAACATCAATAAACAACCTTTTATCTTATGTTTTTAAAAAGGTCTATTTCTGAAAACCTCTTTCAATATCCTTAAGGTAATATTTATTTTCTTTCAAACATATTTTCCTGTTCCATTCCACGAACATGATTCATGAGGAACCATTAAATAAATGGTTTGGATAAGATGTACTAGAATGTCAGCCTCCCTGATAAGAACTTAGGTATGTGTGAATGGTTTGGTAGAGCAAAAATATAACACCCCCTGGATGTAAAAGAGAGAGGAAATGCTGAGAAGAAAAACTAAAGTGGTAAAAATCAAAGCAGAACAAAATATAATGGAAAAGACCCCCAACCCTGGCCCCTTCATGACGCCCATGGAACTTTATGCCCCAGGAAATTTGCCTGTGGTTGTACTAGGACTGAATAAACAACAGAATGCATTTTCAACAAGGAATCTCGACTAGTTTCAAGACAAAGCTGGGCAGGTAAATGTAATCCATTTCAGCAACTGGGAATTTTCTTCTCCTAAAGAAACATGGTTTTCCTTTTACTTCTTTTGCCTGCAGCACCTCCTGGGAGGGAAGATCTCAGGGCTAGCTAGAACAGGTCATTGTGTTCCAACAAGATAATTCACCTGCTTTCATGCAAACTGACTTCAGATGACATAAAAGGAATCCCTATCAGACAGATAAATCAGAGGTTTCACTTAAAATAGTAATTCCACTGCAATCTTTCTTTGCTGTAACTGTCTCCCTTGTTGTCACCCTCCTCTTGTGTATCCTCATTTCCCTTTCTTGTCTCTCTCTCTTGTTCTCTCCTTGTACTGTATCTCTTTTACCTGAACTCAAATACACAGGGAAATAGACACTCCGAAAAATTTTCAATGCATTCATTAATTCACCAAAACAAATTCAGCACCTACTGTGTTCGTGAATACTTAAACACAGACTTGTTATAATCCTACGATGGCAAAAACAGATATAGTGATTTCTTTTATGAACACAGCCTGCCTGCCCTGGGCCTCCTCTCTAATTCCACAGAGGCCACAAAGGCAAGTCAGTTCAGACGGGGACATGGCCTAGGAGGAATGACAGGAGTCAAAGTCCTATGCACCGAATACAGATACATAAGGGTACATGTCTGCGTGGGTAATTACAACTGTATTCTAAAACCAAACCAAAAAGCTCTGCCTTGTCTCTTTTCCATTATCACAGAAAAACACTAGCCAGTACCTTGAGGGTGTTATATAACACATGCCACCAACCCTGTGAAAAACAAGAAAATGCTCAAATTTTACAGCTGACTCATTGTGTTAAGAGAAAGGTTAAATGTAACCCACAGGTAGAACTCAAATTCCATGTTTTAAAAACAAAGAATCACATCTCACCTCCCACTTGCCCTGCTGCGTCCTCTTCTTTAAATGGATATTCCAGTGCTCAGAACTGACGTCTGCACAGTGTGGTATGGTCAGTGCAAAGGGAGTGGTGACAATTATGTCTGGGGGACCACAGGTGACTTCAGGACTCAGGAGCACCTCGGATCCATCCGACTGGAGGCTTTACAGTTGGGAAAACATAAAAGAGAGAGGAGGCATATTTGCATGTGAATTTAGTTACAAACTGGGATTTTTTCAGGCTGGGCAAAATCTCTTCCCAGGATTCCCTCGTGGACAGCACCACACATGCACAGGGCTGGTCTGGACTACAGCCATTTATTTTGAACTGCTCAAGCACAAAGACTGAGTTTAAGCCTTGGTCTCAAATCTTGGTTTTGAGAAACAAAATGACAAAGCCTTCTTTAGAAATATAGGGCAAAACAGAAGAAAGCAAATACCTCATACACCACACACACTGGTGTGTAACAGTGGTCACACACCAGCTGCTGAATCCTTATTCTTGCTGATAACATTACCAATGACCAAAGCCAAGAACTCTATAGAAATGACTGATCTGGTAATCTTACCATCAGATTCTTTTCTCCCAACAATACATTCTACAAACATTTTTAATGTTAGTAAGTGATAAAACAAACAAACAAATAGTTATGGAACAAAGCAACGCTTCAAATGTATCTGAATTGAGCATGTCTAATCTGGCTTTGAAAATATTTATGTTCCACCAATGCACATAAGTTATATAGTTATGTGCCATATAATGAGGTTTTGGTCAACGACGAACCACTTATATGAAAGTAGACCCCTACGATTAGTACCATGTCGCCTAGGTATGTAGTAAGCTATACAATTTAGGTTTGTGTAAGTACACTCTGATATTCTCACAATGATGAAATCACCTAACACATTTATCAGAATGTATCCCCGTCATTAAGTGACAGATGACGGTACAGTGATCACAGAGGAGACAGTTATAAATGTGCATAATCAAATACATAAATATATATCTTCCAACTCTTTCCTATTTTAGATCTAAATTTAAAGTCATTCCATCCAAACCTGATGTTCATATTTTTCTGTATCGTGATTTATACACAGTGGGAATGCAGAGTCATGAAACAGGTAAAAGAAAGTGAAATTTAACTAAATTTAACTAATTTAACTGAGATTAAACTAAAATTTAACCAAATTTAACTAATAATGTCACCTCACTGAATGCATCCCTTTTTCATTTTCTTGTCTTTTCTTTCAAATCTCTGCTCCCAAACAATATGGTGAAGACTTTATAGGGAGAAATCAGTTAGAAGAACTCAGAAGTCTACTAATTTTTCCCCAACTGCTTATGTGTTTTTGAACAAGCTATTTTCTTTTTGGCTGGATTTTCACTTGTAAGCAATACAGTGATACAGAATCTAGAGTCAATAAAGCAATTTAGGAATCTCCCAGATGACAACGCTACATGAGAGCTGGGATTGATGTTATTACTTAAACTTTCTCTCACCCGACGTCAGAAGGACATCTAAATGCCATCCTTGATCAAAAAAGCTATCCCTTGAGCAAGATCCAGATGAAATTTAGCACTAAAAGATACCATCTTTTCCATGATCGTGTATAAACAGCTTTTCTATGAGTTCATCTAACATGATATTAATTTCTGAATTGCTTTTGTTGACGTGCTGGTTGGTTCTCTCTCAAGTTCGTCCTGGTCACAATCTAGCTCATTATCTAGCATTTGCCGCTGCAATAAAAGTCGAGGCATATAACTGAGCAGGAACATCTTATATCCACTGCATCTAAAATAGCCCTGAACATTATTACAGGGTCTCCCTCCCCAAGAAGCACTGGAGATGCCTTCAAAAAGTTCAGTCTTCCACATAGGCAACCATAGTCCAAAGCTGACAGCATAGGGCAATCTGACAATGTCTGTATTTACCTTTAATCAGGGCAGGCAAGCAAGGGAGATGGGGTCAGAAAGTAGTCCATTAGCAATAATAAATGCTTTGTGAACAGCCTAGAACAGCATACTTGAGGTTTGAAAAAGTGTAAAATTCCAGCGTGAGCTCTAACCAGTAAGAAGTGGCAGCCTGCACGTGGACGCTTGCCAGCAGCCCTTTGAGAGGGTTAAGCGCTCTCCGTGAAACCGCCGGCCACACTCAGCACAGATAGGAAGAGCAGGGATGCTAAGAGTGACCGATGACAAGCTCTCCTAAAAGAACTATTTAACTGCTTTCAGAGAATCATCCCCCTTATTGAACATATTGTTCAAACATGTGGGAATTTGGGGAATTATTGAATGCCAAATGAACTGAAATCAGCTAATCAGATGGACTCACACTCATTGTGAATAACAAGGTCCCTTTCGGTAATCGCTTAAACAGCAACGAAGAGTCAGAGGTGGTGCATCTGGAGTCTTGGGTGGAGCAGAGAATGCAGCTTTGCAGTAAGCAGGTGTTGGGCATTTCCATAAGTGCAACAGAAGCAAATCAAGATTCCTATCTGATCCTCCTACTGTGAAAATAGTGTCTGTGGGTGTAGGTTTTTCTCTGGCAAAGGAACAAAACTTAAATCTCTCTATTTTTTTCCCATGATTAATAATAATTTGCCCTTTTCTGCCGTCTTCTATCTGTGGCAATCAGGGAGATTTACAAATATTAATTAAAGCTCTTCACACATCTGTGGAAGCAGGTGTTAACGGCATAAGGTCACGGAGAAGTCAATCAAAGCAACGGCAGCAAAATAGCCCTGAATTTCTGACTCGCAGGCTCCTGCTCTCTGTGACCAGATGCACTTTCCTTCTCTGTTACCACTAGATTTCTGGTCAAATTGCTGGTTCTTGTGACATCCCAAGGAAAGATGGAAGAAAAAACATAGTCCAATTATAGTTATAGAGACAGACTTAGGACACTTGATGACAAACAGCTGAGGAGAGATGGCTTTAACTGTGCCTGGGCAAATATGGGGACCGTAAGGAAAGCATGGATCGCATTTAAGTTTTCCCACATTTTGGAATCCATGACAAGGAAGTATTCATGATCCTGCTAGAAAAAAAAAAGGCAACATATTTTTCTACAATTGCTGTGAGTTACTAATACTGTAAACTATTAGCCGCAGTGACTTCAAGATCATACTCTGAACCACCTCAGTGCAGCACACACCCTTGTGTAGATCAAGAAGTCTGGTTGTGTGGGACTTTTGCTACCTATCTTTTTTCATTGTGTTCTCTCTCCATCTATGCTGCTCATGTGTATGAACGTTTATGGAGATAAAATGATCAATAATTTAAGAGTCAGTTCTGTGTAACCAGGTGGCAGGTTGAGCAACTATATGAAAACACGGTTGTGAATTCAGATTTCTGTTCCCACAGTGCAGCTGAGGGTTCTGAGTAACACTGCCAGCTTTGCAGGGTTGATGCCCCCAACTGCGAAATATAGAGGGAAGGAGAGAGTGCTGATCGAGGGCACGAGAGCATTTTGCCTGGTAATCTGGTAAGATAGAAAGACTCATATTGCTAACCTTGTTTAGTTACCAGAAAAGGAAACCAGGAGTAGAAGGTAGTTTCAGAGAATACACAAAGTGGGGAGAAGTACATTCTTGTGTCCTCACTTGCCCTTGACGACATCATCCCCGATACCATATCACTTGTCTGACCTTTTCTCTGTCATGAAAACAAGACAGTGTGGCAGAAGGGAAAGCCTATGCCTTTATGAGCCCCCTTTTCTTCACATACAAAATAACACCTATGCTAAGATTGTTTGAAGAGTTAAAAGAAGAAAAACACAGGGGCCGGCCCGGTGGTTCAGCAGTTAAGTTTGCACACTCTGCTTTGGTGGCCCGGGATTCGCCCGCACAGATCCCAGGCGTGGACCTACACACCGCTTGTCAAGCCATGCTGTGGCAGGCATGCCGCATACAAAATAGAGAAGACAGGCACGGATGTTAGCTCAGGGCCAGTCTTCCTCAGCATAAAGAGCAGGATTGGCAGCAGATGTTAGCTCAGAGCTCATCTTCCTCAAAAAAAAAAAAAAAAAAAAAACAACCAAGAAGATCATAAAAAGCACCTGGCATGTGATCCATACATAAAGGTTCTGCTTTGCCAACCCTGAATTCCCACCTTTCCTGGATTTTTATGAGTCTTATTTCTGTAGGAACTGGGCTTTTGGAGATGGCTAATTTATTCAACAAATATAATTATATTAATATACACTTCGACAAAATTTTCCATGCCTTAGGGATGTGCATTATGGGTTTTTAGGTTCCTTGGCAATGTTCTCATCCCCACCTCCTGCAGCCTGTCCTCAATTCAGCAACCAGAGGAATCCCACTAAAAATGCCCACTTGTTCCCACCTCAAGCGAGTGCAACTGTTCCTGCTGCTCAGTGCTGCATGGAAGAGCCTTCCTTCAGACATCTCCATGGTCAGCTAGCTCCCTCACGCCCTCAGGTCTTTGCTCAAGTCACGCCTACTAGCCAGGTGCTCGCTGACCGTCCCTGAGCAACGGAACTGCAACATTCCCTCCAACAAAGGCTTATCTTTGCTTTTGCTTTTCTCCACAACACTCATTGCCCTTTAATACACTACACCATTTCTTTACTTATGTAATTAGTCTTTTGTCTTCCACAAACTAGAATGTAAGCTGTATAAGGCCAGGGATTTTTTTGGTTTATTTGTTGATTGTTGTGTCTGCAGTGCCTGATATATGCTGGTTGTAAGCACTCAATGGTATTTGTTGAAATGGATAGGAGCCAGCTTGAAGTGGCCCCAAGTGGTCAAATCTGGAATGTTTTGAGCATCAAAACAAAGTAAATAATGGTAGTAAAGGATAACAACCCACTGGCTAACGTAAGAACCTGTTGAATATATGGATGTAAATGAACGAATGCATGGAAAGGGGAAACTCTTCCATACAATAGAAAGCCATCTAATAAATGTAGAAAATCATCATTTGGAAACCAACCATATTAACATTTGATTTAGTAAACAATTAGGAATGGATGCTAACCTACTTGGTGGGAGTTTGAAGAATAATAAGGAACTATTCGAAGGGTTTCAAAGTATCTTCCCACAAGATACTTATTAATTACAAAGGGTAAAATATTACTTTATAGTGGAAAATCTTGGCAGACACCACCTAACCCAAGTTATCAAAGCTAATGTTGTCAGTAA